AGATGATAGAGAGAGGTGATAGAGGTGAGAGAAAGGAGAGAGGTGATAGAGATGGAAGAGAGGGATAGAATGATAAGATGAGAGTAGAGATAGAGAGTGAAAGTGATAGAGAGTGCTGCGAGGCGGTAGAGGCAGTGATGGTGGTAGAGGTGGTAGGGGTGGTAGGGGTGATAGAGGTGGTAAGAGGTGATAAGGGGTGGTAAGGGGGGGTCGGAGTGGAAGAAGTGTAGAGGTGGTAGAGGTGATAGGGATGGTAAGAGAGTGAGTGGTAAGATGGGGGTAGGGTAGAGATATGGAGTGGAAGTGATAGGGGGGGCTGTGGGGTGGTAGAGGCAGTGGTGGTAAAGGTGGTAGGGGTGGTAGGAGTGGTAGGAGTGGTAGAGGTGATAGAAGTGGTAGGGGTGGTAGGGGTGGTAGGGGTGGTAAGAGTGAGTGGTAAGATGGAGGTAGGGGCATGAAGTGGAAGTAATAGGGGGTGCTACGGGGCGTTAGAGGCGGTGGTGATGATAGGGGGTAGATAGAGTGGTGCAATTGGCAGGCGCCACTACGTATCCATGGATTTTTGATGGGGTGCACGTGATATCACGTGAGGTCACGTTACAGCGTTTTTTGCACGGAAAAGTTGGTTTTTCTTTAATATATAGAGAGATTCATTGAGATATGAATATTTGATAATTGATTTATAAAGGCGAGCGTTAGGTGGAAACGAGCGTTAGGTGGTTGATTACGTTAACAGCTTAGTTGTTACACTAACTAATAGTATTTCACTAATTGTGTCCACTGTCCTCGCTGCCAGATGAGGGGATAACTCCCACAGGTAATAGTTACTTGAAGAAGATATATATTTTAAATTTTCAGTTCCCTTTTAAAATCATAATTTAGCTTGCATCTTATTAACTTAGTTACATGTCCGAGAGACCCCTCAGCTCAGCTGAACGACATGGCAAGTAGTTTGGGCAAAAGAGGGAACAAGAATAAGTGCCTCCTTGAACTCATGCCATCACGTCATGATAGATATTTTTGTCCCCCATATCCTCCCTAACATTTTCTCCAGCCCAATAATCTCATGAAATAATAATTAAGGAAATTCTTTTCCCAATCTACATCTCCACAGCATTCCGGAACTTCTCCCCCGCGTACACTGCATTAGCACCCAACTCCTCCTCAATTCTCAAAATTTGATTAAGCTTCGCCAGTCGCTCTGAGCGCGCGGGAGCGCCCGTCTTGATCTGGCCCGAACGCAGACCGACGACGACATCGGCAATGGTGACATCCTCCGTCTCGCCGGAGCGGTGGGAGACCATCACGCCCCACCCGGCAGCGTAGGAGTCCTTGGCAGCCTGGATGGATTCGGTTAAGGTGCCGATTTGGTTTACCTTGAGGAGGAGGGCGTTGCAGGCTTTGAGCTCAATGGCCTTCTTAATGCGGATGGGGTTTGTAACGGTGATGTCGTCGCTTGTGGAGAAGGAAAATGTTAGTGTGTTTTTATACGGGTAAGAATTGTTGGAGTACTAGGAATGTTTTTAAAAAATTTAAGGAAACATACCCGACGATTTGACAATCAGCGGTCTTGAAGAAATAACTCCAGGCCTCCCAGTCATCCTCAGCGAAGGGGTCCTCAATGCTGACGATGGGGTACTTGCTAGCCAAATTCTTATACAGATCTGCCAGCTGCTCATACGTGAGCCACTTGCTCTTATCGCTGTCTGGGTTCTTGAAGTCAAGGTCATATTTCTTCTCCTCGGCCTTGTAGAATTCGCTCGACGCGACGTCAAGGGCAATCTTGACCTTGCCGGTGTATCCGGCCTGCTCAATGGCGTCGGTGATCAGGTCCAGAGCCTCCTCTGCGGTTTGGATGTCGGGGGCAACACCACCCTCATCGCCAACGTTGCCGGCAGATTGTCCATACTTCTTCTTGGCGAGGTCCTTCAGTTTGTGATATACCTCCGAACCTTGTCGCAGAGCCTCGGAGAATGACGGCGCGGTGCTATTGACATTAGCCTCATATTATTCAATACAATACACTATCTAGTTGGAAATGATGCTTTTACCTTGGGACAATCATAAATTCCTGGAAAGCCAAACGGCCACCAGCATGAGAACCACCGTTCAACACATTCTGGAACGGAACAGGGAGGACATATGGCTTCTTGGTGCCGGCAAGGTCGGAAATGTGGGCGTAGAGAGGGACACCCTTCTCAGCGGCACCGGCCTTAGCAATGGCCAAACTGACACCAAGGATGGCGTTGGCACCAAGTTTAGCCTTGTTCGGGGTTCCGTCGAGCTTGTTCAGGAAGTCGTCGACCTTGGACTGGTCCTTAACATCAATGTTCTCCTTGATGAGGGCGGGACCAATGACATCATTGACGTTCTTGACAGCGGTTAATACACCTATTCCCATGGTAAAAAGATTCATCTCAGCAGTTGGATCATTTGGGCTCAGGGAATTGTACTTTTTGTTCTTGGCTACTTACCCTTTCCGAGCCACTTTGTCTTGTCACCGTCACGAAGCTCACAGGCCTCATGTTGACCTGTCCAACAATGCTTGTCAGTGTATCCTAAACTTCGGACATGTCATGTATCTTGGTAAGCATTAAGGAGATTACCAGTCGAGGCACCGGATGGGACAATGGCGCGGTGGAGGCCGGTTTCAGTCACGACATCAACCTCAACGGTGGGGTTTCCGCGAGAGTCGTAGACGGAGCGGGCGTGGACCTTGGTAATAGCCATTTTCTATTCAATCTGTAGGGATTCTGCAGGCCAAAACAATTAGTTAATTGCGTGGGGATCCAGTATTTGGAGAGAGTGAGAAAAGAATATCACAATGTTGACGGGATGAGAGAAAGAGACACGCGGGATCCTTTTTCTTGCCTGCGGAAGCTTCTAATTCCGTTCACCGGAGAGCCTCAAACAGACTAGGGAGGAGGACGAGTTTCTTTCACCACCAATTCTTCCCAGAATGACCAGTTGTCAAGCTCAATCCTTGGGAAGAGCCTTCAATGTCATTCAGCAACGACGTATTCGCTCGTGTTGTTGTCGATAATAGAGCATATTGAGGACATCGAAGGTGGGGTGGCGGGGTAATGGGACGAGCATGGGAAATATACAAGAGAGACAGCACTTACTTGTGATTGAGAGGACAACTGGAGTGAATAGGTTATACAGAGGTATATCAGAGATGTATCAAGTGTAGGAGGAGGGGGAAATAGAAATAGGAGAAGATGTTGGGGTTTGTAGAAAGGAGAAGTTGAGGCTTTTATGGTTGGTATTTATCTGTATTTATGTTGTTCTGTATCCGATGCGATGCCCCCATCAAAACACCTGGTGTATCCGTACATACGCTGCGTACAGTAACTAATAAGTAACTAACCACTCTATTATTACTGCCCCACTACGCACCTGGACTGCAAGCAATGTCCAACGAGAGCCCGCAGCCAACCACTGCCAACCAGCACAGAAGGCACTAGAATCCGCAAGTTGTAGCAGGAAACTATACGCGTTTGTGTCGGAGGGACACGGGAGTTTGCTGTTGCCCGCAGCGTAGATAGTTGTCTTGGCACGCATCAATGACGACAACGCCGGTAACAATTACAAGATCACATGATGTCCGTAATTTCCGTCATGTGACCTTTGCATTAGCTGCAAACATGACTAATACTACTTGTTTGGTCTCTATGCCGACCTGTAGTCTTGGTCGGAGCTGACGAGAAACGACGAAAGAAGCTCCGACGGACGGAATATAGACATATTGATATCACCCCATTAGCCAACACTCATCTCTCTGACAACAGCTCCCTCCATACTAGCAGCTTATACCCCTTTTTCACCTGTGTCCACCTGTTCCCTTTTTCCCCTTCACTTGGCCTCTCCGCACCCCACCCAATTCATACAACACCTATCCATCCTTCACCATGGAAGGCGTTGACCCGGAACGTGAACAAGCCCTCGAAGATTACAAGAAGAGCCTCCTAGAGTCAAGAGAATGGGAAGCCAAACTGAAGGATCTCCGGCTAGGCATAAAAGACCTGCAAAGGGAGTTTGACACGACGGAGGACAATATCAAGGCGCTACAGAGTGTTGGCCAGATCATCGGGGAGGTGCTGAAGCAGTTAGATGAGGAAAGATGTTAGTATTTATTTACATTTATTAAGGGGGGAATATATTAACATCCTACTGACGCCCCGATGTTATATAGTCATCGTTAAAGCCTCATCAGGACCCCGATACGTCGTCGGTTGCCGCTCAAAAGTCGACAAAGCCAAGCTCAAACAAGGGACCCGCGTTGCCCTCGACATGACCACCCTCACAATCATGCGCATGCTACCACGCGAAGTCGATCCTCTTGTCTACAACATGTCCCTTGAAGATCCAGGGCAGGTCAGCTTTGCCGGCATCGGCGGTCTGAACGACCAGATCCGAGAACTGAGAGAGGTCATTGAGTTGCCGCTGAAGAACCCAGAGCTGTTTTTGCGTGTGGGTATAAAACCTCCCAAAGGCGTGCTTCTGTACGGGCCACCGGGGACTGGGAAGACACTATTGGCACGAGCTGTTGCAAGTTCACTAGAAACGAATTTCTTAAAAGGTATATATATTCATTACATCTCATTCAACATGCTTGGTCTGAGACCATGCTAACCAACGCCCTCCTACCTCCTCCACCTCCTCCAGTTGTCTCCTCAGCTATCGTAGACAAATACATCGGCGAATCCGCCCGCCTAATCCGCGAGATGTTCGGCTATGCCAAGGAACACGAACCCTGCATCATCTTCATGGATGAAATCGACGCCATCGGCGGCCGCCGCTTTTCAGAAGGAACCTCCGCCGATCGCGAAATCCAACGTACGCTCATGGAGCTCCTCAACCAACTCGACGGCTTTGATTACCTGGGTAAGACCAAAATCATCATGGCGACCAACCGGCCTGATACCCTTGACCCGGCGCTGCTACGCGCTGGGCGGCTGGATCGGAAGATTGAGATCCCGTTGCCAAATGAAGTGGGCCGGTTGGAGATTCTGAAGATTCATGCGAGTGGGGTTGCGATTGAGGGGGAGATTGATTTTGAGAGTATCGTGAAGATGAGTGATGGGTTGAACGGGGCAGATTTGAGGAATGTAGTTACGGAAGCGTAAGTTTTTAGGACTCCCATTCTCTCGGTTTCTATTTTATGCATGGAGGCTAATTTACATATCTTAGTGGGCTGTTCGCCATCAAGGACTACCGGGATACAGTGAACCAGGACGATTTTAACAAGGCTGTCCGCAAGGTTGCGGAGTCTAAGAAGTTGGAGGGTAGGCTGGAGTATCAGAAGTTGTAGTGGCCCGTTTTTTCCCCCTTCCTTTAGCTTATTCCATCTTATCTTGGGCCATTATTTTATCTATCTTCTGGTTCTATTACTCCTCGCCCTTCCCAAGCATTTTCAAAGTCCTGTAAAGTAGACTTCTGCATAAACGAAGTTGATTCTCAACTGGCTGGTCCCTGTAGTTTTCTTTGTGCCCACCCTCTATTATTCTCTATCAGTTATATTTGTTTTCCTCACTCCTTTTTCTTTTCTGTCTACTACGTAGGACCATTCGTGTGAGCAGCTTTTTTGAATTCGTAGAGGATTTAAATAATCGGGATATATCTCACCCGGTCACCTAATGGATATCCCCGAGAGAAGCAAACAAGCCAAACACCACAACCACCTGAACTATATATCAAGCTCTTAATCTCAACTCACCACTTGTCCGTTTTGCCCGGATTCCCATTTTATTCCTGCTATCTCCCGGTCTCACGAGGAGGAGGAATTGATATTTTTTGCCGTGTCGGATTACAATTTGGCTCGCTTGCCTGCCCCCGGATTACACTCTCTACTGACCCAACCAGAACTCCGCAAACCAAACGACTGGGACGGCCAGACACTGCTATGACTTGATCAATGTTTAGCTCCCGCTTCTCACTTTGAGTGCCTTGACACGACACTTCGCTTTTGTCATTGGTGCGATAGAATAATAATAAACTAGAGGCGAACCCGTCTGCGGTAGTAGTTTTTTCTCGCAACTTTGTCTGAGTTTCGAGCTGTCTCCACTTTGCAAAAACAAGCTATTTTTGTGCCGGGACACCCGCGCTGGTGCTCCAATTCAATAAATTAGGCAAACCTTCTTCGCCCAAGGGAATTAGGTATATATCTGGGTCCTAGTGCCTATTCTCTAGGTTTAACTTTTGTATTTGATAACTGACAAGCCCGGGACGACGGCGACAGGTGACAGATTAAAGACCACTCCAGAGAACTATTGAAGATAGGAAACAATTTATTTACTTTCTGGACTGGAAATATCAAAGCCAGCTGCGCGGGATATATTAAGGGGGACTAATTATTCGGAATCGAGGTGCTTTATAACCGCCTACGAAAGGGGACCCGGACAAGAAAAGCTTTCAATCAATTTGGTCGACCAGCGCGCGATACGCCGTCCGCTTGACGGCGGCGGGCGAACAGCAAGGGCAGCCTTCCAAGGGGGCTATGAAATAAAAACTATATAACATACAAGAAATCAAACAAAAGAAGGAAAGGGAAGGAGGAGGGAAAAAATGTCGTTCAAACTCCCCCGGAACGTTCCCACCTTCTCCTCCTCCCAACGCCAATATGAAGACGGGTACTGGCGTGCAAGAGCCAACATCGACGACCAGGATTTCTCCTTCTCCAGCTTCGTGAACCCCGGCTTCAATAGCGATCTGCCCATGTACAAGGACAAGCCTTACTTTGCGTCGCGGCGGGCCCGGAGACGGCGGCGACTGACCTTTTTGGTGATGGTTGGATTGGTGTTCTTGGCGATTGTGTGGTTACTTGTGCATAAAACCGCGCCCCGGGAGGTGTTGCGGATGAAGAGTGGGAAACAGGGGGGCAATTTGTGGAAGTGGATGAGGGTTATGGAGAAGGAGAAGGGAGAGGATTTGGAGGATGAGAAGGGGCGGGTGGATTGGGAGGAGAGGAGGGAGAAGGTTAGAGATGCGTTTATTGTTAGTTGGGATGATTATGCGCGTCATGCTTGGGGTAGGTCTCTTTTTTGGTGCGAAATGGGCTCGTTCTTCGGTGTTTTATGGGGTGGGACATATTTTGCTAATGATATCTCTTTTGTAACATTATGGCAGGTCGCGATATATACAAGCCACGGAGCAAGAAAGGCGAAGACATGGTCAAGGGAGGATTGGGCTGGATAATTGTCGACTCGCTGGATACATTGATGATCATGAACCTGACGTCCCGTGTGCAAAATGCCCGGAGGTGGATTCATACCTCCCTCCACTATGACCAGGACCATCCCGTCAACACTTTCGAGACGACCATTCGAATGCTCGGCGGCCTCCTCTCCGCACATTACCTATCAACGACATACCCCCATCTCGCCGCGATAGAGGATGATGATGAGGGGGCGCCCGGCGAGGACCTGTATATCGAAAAAGCCACAGGCCTCGCTGATCGATTGCTTGGTGCTTTTGAATCTCCGTCCGGAGTTCCGTACGCGAGTATTAACCTTAATACAAGCGTGGGCGTAGAATCACATATGGATAACGGCGCCTCTTCAACGGCGGAGGCAACCACTGTCCAGCTAGAATTTAAGTATCTTGCGAAACTTACGGGGGAGCCAAACTACTGGGAGAAAGTGGAAAAGGTAATGGAAGTTGTTGAAGGAAATGGGAGGGAGGATGGCCTCGTTCCTATCTTCATTCAGCCGACTACAGGGAAATTTATGGGACAGAATATCCGACTGGGCAGTCGGGGAGATTCATACTATGGTGAGCTCCAAGCGACTACATTTTTTACATGCAATTTGACCGTTGTACTGACCAAATGATGTTCCTAGAATACTTAATTAAACAGTATCTTCAAACTTCTCGTGAAGAACCGATCTACCTTGATATGTGGAATGAAGCTCTCACGGGCATCCGCAAACATCTAATCACGTATACAAAACATGCCTCTCTAACAGTCCTAGGTGAGAGACCAAATGGTCTCAGGCATGAACTTGTACCTAAGATGGACCATCTCGTCTGCTTCATGCCCGGTACCATTGCGCTCGGCGCGACAGGCGGCCTACCAATCTCCCAAGCCCGCAAGTCCCCCGACTGGGGCCGCAAGCAAGAAGAAGAAATCCTCCTGGCCAGAGAACTCATGAAAACTTGCTGGGCCACTTACGTCGCAACAGCCACCGGCCTCGCACCCGAAATCACCTATTTCAAAACCGACAGCCCTCCCCGCATGATGAAAGACGTCTTTCCAGACCTAAAAAAAAACCCTTCCGCTGCCAAATCCGCCAGCGCAGACTTGCACCTAACCTCCCAACCCCTCTACCCACTCACAGACGCCAACAGTGCCTGGCGCAAGGACATCATCATCCAGCCCAACGACAAACATAACCTCCAACGGCCCGAGACCGTCGAGTCACTGCTCTACATGTACCGCATCCTCGAAGACGAGACGTACCGGCACTGGGGCTGGCAAATGTTCAAGAACTTCGTGAACCACACCTCGATCAGCGAGAAGGATAAAGAGCCGCCGATCCGCGACTCGTACAATAAAAACGTCGATCCGGAGACCAAGAAGAAAGTGCGCACGTCGCACATTCGCGCATTCACGTCGCTGGATAATGTCGATGTGATCCCGGCGGTGCAGAGGGATAATATGGAGAGTTTCTGGCTGGCGGAGACGTTGAAGTACTTCTATTTGCTGTTTTCGGATAGGGATTTTTTGCCTTTGGAGGGGAGTGTGTTTAATACGGAGGCGCATGTGTTTCCCCGGTTTCAGATGGGGGAGTTGTTTAAGACTGGGTGGAAGAGGAAGCATGGGAAGGGGGGATGGTTTTCGTAGTTTTTTCTTTCTTTTTAGCTTTCTCTTTCTTTTGGTTGTTCTATGACGGTTTGCATTGAGGATAATTTTGTCTATCTATTTCTGAGTCTGTTAAATTTGAATACCCACCTGCGCATATATATATGTTGTGGATATCCAAAATTTGCTGTTCCTCCGCTCTTTTTAATTCTTCTGAGTATATGTATATTGAGCATTGCTGTCCCGTGTCTTCCTTCCCTATTGTTCATATGTTAACATTCTACATGCATTGGTTTCGCGCTTCTATATATATTTATTCCACTTCGTTCTTTCGCCGTGGACGGGCACAGCTGACTTTTTAACCTCCCAGCAATGACACTTGTAGCAAGCAATATTCTGCCTTGATCAATAATCCAGATTAATCCTTCGTGGACTACTAGTTTATGTCGGCGAACTTTTCAGTCTGCATGAACTTTTTTTTGTCTTGGGGTAAATCGTCTGTATCTAGCTTGCAGGCATCTAGCGATGGCCCCTGCTGGAAGACGGTAGCCGGAGATGGCTCGAGCTACTATGTCGGTTTTATAGATGCCTTGTGTGCCAGATCTAATATTTTGAGTTTCGGATGGTGCATATATATTGTTCCCTAATTTATCATATGTGAACAAGGACGGACTGTGGATAGGCTGAGCACCAAAGTAGCGGGCATGCAAGCTGTGGAAAGAGCTTTGGTCCTTTCGGAGTAAGGTAATGGATGGTTCTGATGAGTCTATGCAAGCTCACACTTTGAACGCTGAATGGGTCTATCCACAACCGATGGGATGGAGGTATGCGTTAATGCCAAAAGAAATAAATCAGGGAGCTTCAAAATGTACAGGACATATGAAGTGCAGCCCAAGAAGTAATATTCCCGAACAGAGTTCAATGAAGTAGCTAGCAAAGCGCGAAAGAAAAGAAACAATTCTAAAAGCGCATTTTAAATAACACCGGGATTTATACAAAGAAGAAAAGAAATATCCTTTAGCCCCTCTTCACCGCTGCATCAATTAGCTTCGAATACCCTTCAACCGCCTTCTCCAAATCGCCCACTGTAAGCCCCTCATCGACCCCGTGTGCCACAAGGATAGTTCCCGGGCCATACAGGTATCTCTTAACCTTAACATCGGAGTCTTCGTCATGGATATCCAGCTTGGGGATATCCGTCCCGTAATTGACCGTCAACAATTCAAATCCGTCGACATCTGTATCCAGATCAATGGGCGGGTACGCCTTGTCATCAGGGAACTTGAGGGTGATATTCTTGCTACCGCCAGAGGCATCAGCAACCGCCTTGCGAATGATATCTTGGGCATCTTCCACCGTGCCATCCGCAAGCCGGACAGCAACACTGGCCGAGGCAGACTCCGGTACGACATTGCCAGCCGCACCACCTCTGACCGTGCCGATATTCAGCGTCGTGCTGCCATATTTCTCGCTGGAGGGCAGCCCGCCGTCCTCGACGGGGATATCGCCCAGGCCATCAATGCGAGCAAGCACGGGGAGGATCTCTGATATGGCGCTGTGACCGAGCCAGGGGTATCCTGAGTGGGCGGAAACGCCCTTGGCCTCGACGTCGAAGCGCAGGTTGCCCTTGTGGCCATCGACAAGCTTGAGCTCCGTGGGCTCGCCGAAGATGAGCGTGTGGAAAAACGGCGGGCTGGTGTTGAGCTCCGAGTCTGAGAAGTGGATCATGCCCGTGCCGCCTCTCTCTTCGCTGACGACGAACAGGAGGCCCACGGGGACGTCGGGGCTTTCCTTCATGTGGTCGAGTGCCGCGATGATCATTGCGGCGACGCTGGCTTTGGCGTCCACGGTGCCCCGGCCCTTGATGGTGATGTTGGCGCGGTCGAAGTCACCCTCTGGCGCATGGAGACTGTAATTAATGTGTGGGGGGACGGTATCGATATGGCTGGTCAAGATGATCTTGGGCTTTGGGGAGCCCTTGGGATAGGCCCAGACATTGTAGCGCTCGTCGGTGCTGTCGTCGTCCTCGTCGACGGGCACAATTTGTTTTTCGGTGGTGAAGTCATGTTCGCCCAGGTATTTGATCAATGCTTCCCCGACCGTAGATTCGTGGTTGGAGACTGATTCAATTTCGCAGATTGTGCGATGTAGGGAGAGGAGCTGCGAGTCGGAGACTATCTGATTCAGGTCTTCATTTGGAGCTGCTGGGACGGTGGTGTCTCTCAGCGTGCCCGCTGTGAGGATGTCTTGACGTAAGTAGCCGGCTGCGACAGGGGCGACGAGCTGTGCCGACAGCGCGGCCGCCAGATGAGAGAGCTTCATGGATGGTGTTTGTATGATCGAAGCCCTGGCGTTGGGCTAAATAAATAGGATGATTGAGTTTCAAGTTGCGAACAAAACCAAGGAATCAAATAAACAAATAAAAATAATGCCGATCGCAACGTTTCAACGGCGATTGATATTTCGGACAACCGAGTCGTTTTATTTATATTATATAGTTACACATCTTCCCTACGTACGAGCGTTAAAACATCAACTAAACAAACTCCTCCTCCTCCTCCGCTCTTGCAGTTCCACAGCATCCGCTGCCCCGGACCAAAAAATATAAAAAATAAACAAATTTGGTGGATAGGCCGACGACGAACACCCTTTTCTGGCTAGCGCTCTATTCGATCCTAATTATTGAGCAGACAGATATCTTTCTTCCATTGGATGTGCACAGAGTCCACCGACCCTTGCGCGATCGATTGCCTGATCCGAGTTCTTGGATGCCGAACACCATCAAGAATGAAATGCGCCATGGAGTATGGAGCCGATCGGTAGAGCAGGATTGAGGGGCAGCAAAGTACAGGGCAGGGAGTGGGCAGCAGGGAAGCCGATAGCGAAAGATATCTTTACCACAATATGCGAATAGTCAAGACTTGTTATATATATAACTATCATCTATATATCATCTATCAAAGAGCTGGAATGACAGTAATCGCAGAAAAAACAAGCACTCAAATTACACAGCCGAACGAAACACGCAGCAGGGGCAAGCTCGGCAACGATATGTATGTAGCTACAACACCCAAAAGACCGCTAGCCGGGATATAATAATAATAACCTTGCAAAGCAGTATATATGGTATATGGTCATCTGATCTAATAGGAACCATCCATAGGTCACTCTTAACCAAAAAGACAAAACTCCGAGCAAATGTACCTGCATCTGAAGATACGAACAACGATATAGAACAATAAAAACGGGGGGCTTCTATACCCACAGGCAAAAAAAAAGGGGGGTATATAAACTAGATGCTGACGACGCAGGGCCAAACAAAGCCGGAGAAGATCCTCCAGCAACGCGGTATACGCGCAAATATGAATCGGAGCACAAGAATAAAATAAATGAAGGCTAAGCACGCTATACGTAGCTGATGGTCAAAAGTGGGAGAGAGCGTAGTGGAGTGGGGTCTGCCGTCATCGCAATCCTGGATTCGGGAAACGGGGAAGGGACAAAAAATAAAAATAAAAATAAAAATAAAAATAAATCAAGGGGGCCCACTCTCCGATACAAGGAGACGTCCCGATAAAACCTGTTAAGGCGAGACGGACAAATATGCAAGTTGCTTAGCACATCAAACTGTGTTCCTGCGTACCCCTGTGATTGTTTTCTTCTTCTAACTGCTTCATCATGATTTAACACCCCATTTTCGCATTTTAATCACAACTGAATCCTGGGTATCCCCCCCCCAGAAAAAAGAAAGAAAGAAATCTTGAAATGGCCGACCTCCCCTCCCTATAAGATATTTAAGAAAAAAAAGGAAAAGGAGAAGAAATGGAGTTGTTTCGATCGCGCGGTTCACTGCCCTACCGATCCCCGCCCCTTGGGGGTTATGTCAGGAACACAGAAAAAAGAAATTGAGATGGGAGAAGCTGGGGTGAGAATAGATGAGGCGAAATCACCCTGCGCCTCCCTTTCCGTTTTCTCTCACATCTCCCATGATTCATGGTTGCCGCAAAATTCCACGATAAGCCGTTCCAAATCGGTCAACTTGTACGGTTTTGTCATATAGCCTTCCATGCCCACCTTGGTAGCACGACCTAACGCCTCATCGGTGACGTCCGCACTGACTGCTAAGACGGTAGGACTGGGTGGTAATAGCACGTCCGGTACGTTCTCGTTCCTCAGTCTATCACGATGGTTCCCAACCATATCCAATATTTTCTCCGTGGCTTGATACCCGTCCATATCGGGCATCCAGAGATCCATGAGGATGACGTCGACGAACTTTGATTTTGTTGGCGCCGGTTTGATAGGTGGTTCGCTAAATGTTGACATTTCGCAGTCTTCTATGAGCGAAGTTACGGTGTCCGTGCTCATTTCGGAGACACTTCGTCCGGAAGGACTCTGCGGTGCCGGTTCCAGGTCTGGAGACATGTCGTTCAGGATGATTTCGCTCATGATACGAACTGCTTCTTTGCCGTTGAAGGCCTCATATACATCATTGTATCCCAGTTTGGCAAGCATGCTAACGAGGATTCGTCTATTGATTTTGTTATCCTCTGCCACTAGAAACGTGAGAGGGTGTTTGTCTGCGAGTTGGCGGTCATAGCTGTTGGAAGAGAGAAGGGCGGAACCACCACGAGATGAAGCTGATAGGCGGCGCGACGGTCCCAGCCAACCGCCGTTTGTGAAACTTGAGCTTGCTCGTGTCGGGACCCGGCGATTCGAAGATGATTCCGAAGGGGGAGTTTCCGAACTATTTCTCACCGTTTTCGACTCATCGGTTGGAGTATCAAAATGCGAAGACGGGTTCGAATTCGATTGGGAAGGAGCATATGCATGTTGCGGCGTGGTTGGCGGACTGACACTGTCATTAGGGCTTATGGGTAGCCGGATTTCGAATTCGGATCCACGATCTGGCTCCCTCGTGGATGAACGAAGACACCTTAAATCACCGCCAAGCTTCCTAGACAGTCCCTTAGCGACCAAGAGCCCGAGACCTAATCCCTCCTTGCTCCTCGTCGTAGAGTCGTCTTCTCGAGCGAAAGGTTGAAAAAGGTTTGGAAGAAAGTCTTCCGGAATCCCAGTCCCAGTGTCGCTGATATTAATTAGAACACACTTGCCCGAACCACTCAACTTCGTAACAAGTGTAATAGTTCCGGATTCTGTAAACTTTAGAGCATTAATAAAGACGCAGGACACCAGCTTGGTAAAGTCCCTTTCGTCGACGTAGAGTATGTCCGGCACTGACGGATCGACAGACCAGTCAATAATTTTTGTTGAAGCCCGCCCACTTGAAGATCTTGACCTGATCTCAACTTTTTGGCCGAACATGTTCGGTTCAACAAATGCAGAATCTGGCCGGCCTCCCACATGGAGCGATTCGTTGATAAGCGGTTGCAGTATCTCGCGGATTTTCGTGGATTGTAGCGTCATGGGAGGGAAAATTTTGGGTTTAACGTATATGTTAGAACACGAAAACTGTTCGGTTAGTGAGGAGCGTCGAGCGTTGATTAGAGCCTCTTGGACTTCACGGTCCTCCTCGACTCGCGGGCCGGCTTGAACGATCTTCTCACTCTCTTCAACTACCGTCTTAACATCTGCGCTTCGGGGCGAGAGTTCTCGTCGATGTAATCTTGGAGATTTAGATCCTGAGGGAGGGCTATAATTCCAATCAACTGGACTACTCCGTCTCCGTTTGTATGGATTTACGGCAATGTTGTTCCCTTCGATAAGAATATTGGGGCGAGAATCGTAATCTCCACTATACGATCGCAAAGAAGCCCCAGCACTCTGCTCCCCAGCAGGATTTTGGGGAGTTTCAGGTATTTGCATATTTAGATCATAAGCATGCACCACATTATCAGCTGCCTCAACTGCTCTTCGAACGCTGTCTGTAAGTTCGCACAACTATGCCATTAACAAAATTGATCCAAAATCCGAATAGCGTCAATGACACTTAGTAGTCAGGGTGGGTGGAACTAACCTTGGATTGCCTCAATGTTATCTTTGAGCTCCTGAAACATCGGGATTATCCCTGCTGCATCGAGCCGCTTGTCCATTGCTTCTTGCACGTTGGCGTGCATGACATCCAGCATCCCAACCACTCCCTGCATGGGTGTTCTCAACTCGTGGGATAAGCTCCGTGCATATGGTTTAAACGAGTGCGAGCTTGTAGAAGCAGAATGATGGTAGGCGGTGGGTCTGCTTGTTCTAGCTCTGCCTCTTCGTTGCTGTTCGTCTCTTTTCTGGACGAGCATTGGCTTCTTGTGGTCTTGCTCGTTCAAGATGCGGTGCTGTACGAAGTCCTCCAAAGAGTGGAGAATCATTTCAAGATATGCCCAGGAGACATCGCGCTTCACTAAACCTTCAGCAGTCCACATCAGCCCAAAATGAGAAAAACACTTTCCATCGGAGGAAAGGGGAACAGTCAAGTAGGCATCCATTGGGAATGGGAGCGTATTCGTGCCACTGCTCATGTACGAAGCCAAATTCTCCGGGATGAGAAAAACCTTGCCGTGTTTCATGAAGGCACAGGGTATATCCCGAGAGAAATGCTTGTAGTTTCTGTGCATCGCTGAGATCGAGTTGCCGTCGTTATAGTACAGAGCGACACCTATGAAAGGAGAATACTCGTGGGTTTCAGCGGTTGACATCACAGTATCATAGCCATTTTTGAGGTATTGGGCGGGCTCTGGATTTGAGGTGGCTACAAACGAGCATTGGGCATTGCAGATGGCTGCGACCCCCTCGAGCAAACGTTTCCAAAACGTTTCAGTCTCCGCATCTCTTAATTCTTCTTTCAATCTTAGAAGACGCTCAATTGCATTGCTCTGTCCAACCTCATAATGTCTCATCATGCCATCAATAAATTCCGGTTCTCCGCTCGAAGATAGGCTCGGAAGACAAAGCGTGTGGCGCTCAATGAAAGCTGGATCTACGAAGTGGTTGGAGGATTCAGCCCCGATGGTGCTCGACATTGTCCTACGACCTTTGCGAACCTCATGTAGACCCCCGACGGCTCTATGGAGAAACGATAGAAAAGGGGCTCGAGGACGATTATTTATTCGGCTGTCGAGAGCTCGAAATGACTGGAAATTCCCAGGCTCGACGGTAGCCTTCCTGCACAACTAGAGAATGTACAGAGCATGCTCATCAGCACATATAAATGCTCATCCAGTATTCGAAAAATCCGGTATCCGTCGTAGCTGTGTGGTGGTGGAGGAGGTGAAACGGCTGTACAGTAGTACATGTAGGGTGCGGACCTGGATCTGGCCACACTACCTACTTCCTTTCGAGGACATTCGGATAGCTACGCGAATTTAATATAGCTGTCAATGCAGATAATGAGAGTGGGCGATAGGGATAAGCCGGTCGTAAGTCGTCGTTGTCGGTCGTCCTCGTATCAGGCTGCAATAAGCCGGCACGATGGTGGAGGGGGGAGAATATCAGCGGGCCGGGGGGGAGTGAGAAAGGTTCCTCGGGAGCAATAACTATATGGAAGAGTAAATTTAAGAGGAATTAATTACTTATTAGAGGCACAAACAACAACAACAACAATAATAATAATGCTGCTGGTGGTGGTGGTCTGCAGCCGTGGTGAGCAGGCCGAGCAGAGCACGGTTGTTGCGAGGACGAGGGAAGCAAAGAGGGGCACGCGAAGGAGTTAAAGAGCAGCCAGCACAACTACAACTACACTTAACTCATAGTTAGGGGATGAGGCGCCTAAGGAACAACCACCACCACTACTAGTACAGTCTCGTTGTTCCAGGAACCAGGTTATACATATTTTATTTTCCGGATCGTTACTCTTGTTATTGTTATAATTGGGATGAGCAAGGGATAAAATCCAGTTTGATGGCCCATGATAGCCACTTCTCAGGAGCCTCTAATATTCGGCTTACCCGGCGGATTGCAAAAAAGGATATATATATATATGATCTGCTAAGTGGATTCCCTCCAAAGAAAATGCTGCAAACAAATTATCCTACCCATTCTCAAACTCTAGGCCAAACAGTCCGTGTCAACCTGGGCCTCGCGCTAACGATGGATTGTGCACACACACCACCGCACCTACTCTAGTCTCCAGCACCAAAGGGCTCTCAGGAAGTCAGGGACTCAGGGGAGAGACCTGGCCGCATAGGCGCATGGGCGCTTTTCTTACCCTCTAAATATCCTTCCGTCTTCCCGCCATAACGAAATCGGATCCATGGATAGAGATTGCTTGTCCATCTTCAGTCACTGGCTGCGCTGAGTATCAAGCCCCCAAACAGGTCCAGCTCAACACCTCTTCGCCCCCCGCGCAGACAGTTTAGCTGTTGATTCTGGGCTTTTTCGATTTCGCGACGGTGCTCGGACGCTGTTTCGCCGTAACGCGGGTTTTAGGCCCACAGCCAAAATCGAGCCGTTGGCTGGAAACTGCAAAGATGGCCGGGGCGACGGGGAAGCCCGCTTTGGCGCCGAGTGGCTTGACTGGCGATCACCGGGGTTGTGAAAACTAGGAAAATGAAAGTAAAAATGAAAAGTTGGTAGCATCACACCGGAGAGTACTCCGTAAACCGGAAAAGGATCTACCTGGTGACTACGATGTGGATGCCTGGATACAAAACTATGGGGGAGACATCCTTCATAGATTTTGCTAGATTTCCCAATCCCTTAAAGCATACGGTGTACGGATGAGGTATGATATTTATGTGGCTTCCATTCGGAGATGGGCGTCCAAGCCGAGCCAGCTTCTGCGCCTGGACCGCATCGAACCAGGAAAAAAAATTGGCAAAAATGCCATGCATAGCATACATGATACATGGCAAACATTCATACGGGATACCAAGACCTCCTGAACACGGGACACCTCCTCTGGTTTAAAAAAAAAAAAAAAAAAAAAAAAAAAAAAAAAAAAAAAAAAAAAAAAGAAAAGAAAAGAAAAGAAAAGACGAAGAAGGCGAGGATGCAATGCAGAAACAGCATACTGAACGGAAATAATAATGATCTTTCTCCTCACCAGGTCAGGTCTAAGTGACAAGCGAAATCAGCACCATGGTGCGGATTCAAATCTGCATTGAGCTGGCAAGTTAGAAGTTAGTGCTCGAACATGAGCTGGGAGTGTTATAATGTTACTTAGCAATGTGTGAAGTCATCTCAACTTCTCAGTTAGATAGGCAGTTTGAGAGAGGTGGGAATTTTTACAAATGAAACCTGGCGGTCTCCATCCATTCTGTCATGAATTCTTCATTGTCATTATAGACATTGAATGGCAGGAAGAGACCAGCTGTTATCAATGACAAATGAAAATTTTCATCCCTCAACAAAAAGACACAAGAATGAGCCTATAATATGAACTGATCTGCATCATGTGTTGTACTTAGCAGTAGCCTGTAGTAAGGAGCCTTCTAGGAGAATGAAACAGATTGAATATTTAGATGCAAAAGAGTCAAAACAATTATTCACAATTATTCACACATATCTGCTCATTCTACACAAGCCTCTCCACTATCATTAAAATTGGTGCAGTGTACTGCTTATAAGTATATTGATCTCTGTCAAATTGTATTAGCAGGGAGCAAGGCCACCATTCCATAGCGACATGGAGAATAAAAATGGACTGAAAATTGCTAATCATGATCAAACTCATGTTCAATTTAGAATGTGTGGCTATAAGTCTAAATGAAAGCCCGTTCATTTCTACTACAAGCAATAAAGCCAATGAAATATGGGCATAATCTGCCATATATCAATGTTCCTTCTGGTGTGCCTTTCATAGGGCTTGTGCGTTTCTTGCCCGGAGGGAAAAAGCGAGGTTGAAGTACTCAAGTACTTAAACCTTCTCTTTGCTATATCTGAGTACTACCTAGTAGCATTGCCAGAGCATTCCTATACAATATGGAAGACAGTTGAATTGGCTGTCTTGTTCTGAAAAATGATATAGCCATGCAGAGAAACACCCCTTGCATGAATTTTTCCTCTACCACTATAGGTAATCAATCGTGATATTCACGCCCTGAAGTAATTAGATAGATTTTCAAATCTGATTACTTACAGTGAATAAATATTCATTAGCGCATGCGTATGAGGAATATGATCTTTTTGGGGGGTACATGTCATCTAATGTTCATGCAAAGAAAAAAACACTTCAAAATGGCTCGGTTTCCCATCTGAGGTCAGATATAGAAGCAAGGCACGCCGAGCGGTCTATCACACAGTGTATAAAATCAGAGCTGGCCGACTCCATCGAAACAGTGGCTTATTTATATCAATCTCATTAACATGGGCTACACTCATGCTGAACGAAGTTCAACAGACCCTGCTTTAATAATTTACTGACTCTGTCAGTTCAGCGAGGTTGTTATTCAAGATCGACCATGACTACGGGTAGAATTGTTGCTCAGAAAGCCGGAGAGCTAGTCCAGGCCAAAGGCATCCATCCGACTTGAAAATTAAGCATTGGAACATGGCCTCTTAGAACTCTGTCCTTCAAAAGTCATCCACGCGGAAATATATCCTGGGTACGAGGTCCATCGGAAAATGGGGTGAGAGCTTTGGCAGAACGAAAGGCTGGATTAGTCTAGAACAAAAGTTCAAAGATAGTAGGTATTACCCCAAAACACAACCAAATTTATTAGATATATAATTCAGTCAAAGGGCCATACTGTTGTTGAAGTTGTTGAAAATGAGTTGAGAACACCTTCCCAACCGTTTTGGGACACGGATAGGGCTCGAACCCTAAACCCTAAAACCTCGTTTCTCGCTACGCACTTGAGCCTCATCCAACCAAAACCTTCCGTAGCCAGCGCTGGCATTTCAACCTCCGACGACAACGACAACGACACTCCTCCGCATTACCCATCACCATCACCCGTCATCAACGATCGAGATGGCGAAGGAACGCACCGGTATCATCGTCGGCTTGAACAAAGGCCATGTACGTTGGAGTTTAACCCTTTTCCCGCCGTCTTTCCCCTCCGTATTGCCCATTTGCTTCTTGGAGCACCTACACTATGCCTCTACATTCTCCAGAATGAGAATTACAACCCTTCAATTGCGTTGTGTTGGCAATTTTCATTTACTGCCCAATTTCCGGATTTCCCCTTCCCAATAAGATGGGCAGGAAAAAGAAGCAAAGATTGGAGATTTAAGGACGATTAGCCTACGAGTAAAAACTGACTAGGAGATTTTTTACGCCTGTTTTTAGAAAACCACGGCCAACACGATCAAGCCACGCATCTCGCGGACAAAGGGCCACCTCTCCCGCCGCACACAGTTCGTCCGTGAGATCGTCAAGGAAGTCGCCGGTCTTGCCCCATATGAGCGCCGTGTCGTCGAACTATTGAGAAACGCCCAGGACAAGCGGGCCCGTAAGCTCGCGAAGAAGCGGGTGAGTCCCCATTTGATTTTGTTATCCATTGTTTAGTTGGCCAAGGCCTCGTCTAGCTCAAGAGGTGGACGATGGATGGGATATAAAGAGACTATGGCGGGAAACAAATGAAGTGGGAAAAAATGAGAAAGAAGACAAATGATGAAAGGAATCGGCATTGATTATACGCACCTACAAACAACAAATCGAAACCCCCGGTCTGATAAACCTATATACATCGACCGTTTTCGCCAAGCATTTTCCCTCAATCAGAGGCAGGAAGGAAACAATATAGCAACGCGTTCAGGGAAGATGACGGGGCATTCCAATGGCTAGAATTGAGGAGACTAAGACGGGGCCGAGGCCGCTTCATAAAGGACATAACACATTCCAAAGAATACCATTATCGCTAACATCTTTTTTTCCTTTCTATTTAGCTCGGTACCTTCGGCCGTGCCAAGAGAAAGGTCGACGAGATGCAAGGGGTCATTGCTGAGGCCAAGAGAGCCGGCCATTAAATATTCTTGTTTTCTAAGGGAGAAAAAGAAGGCGCCTGGTTTTCGTGGAGAGGGATATGATATGGAGAGGGACCGGCTTGTTGCTGTTTGCTACTCTTTGAATTGAGGGTTTGGTGTCATGGTTTACCATCAAAACATCCCTTTTTTTTTTTTTTTCCTTGTGTTTTTTTTTTAATATTTATATTAACGGAAACGATATTTCGAAGAAAAAATAAAACAACAAACAAACCAATACCATAACATATCCAGATCCCTCTTTTCTTTTGTTGCTACTATTTGAACGTTTTTTCCGGCCATTCCCCATCTTCTCTAGATCCGGCCGTTGGCGGCCTCTCGATCCCTTTGCGCACCAGCAACCTAAAGTTCAGTACGGTAGAGGATGGGACATGCCAACTGTCACCCGATAACTGCAAAATGAGGGGCCATATGGGAGAAGATGGAAAAAATGTGCCTTAGCCATAAGCGACCGCGATGGAATCTAGCAGCTCTATTTTCGGTGCACTTTGCGCTCCGGCTGGCGGAGAATCAATCATCTTGCCATACAACTTCGCCGGGTACGCATGTATCACAGATAGTCTGCGTGTAACCAACCTCGACAACCTCGTAGAAAACGCACCCTACCATAGGAGAAGCTAGATGAAAGAGAAAACCGGGTATGTATCATGTACGGTATGAAGTTGAAATGCGATTATTGCCCTCCCAACGAGCCCGAGACGGGCGAAGTAGGCTTTATAAAAAAAAAATCTCAAATTCATAATCATATGCCTCATGGACATCTAAGCTCATCATAAAAGTTAAAAGCGTGAAATCCTACCCCCCTATTCCAATAGTCAACAATAGAAATATAATAATAAGACCCTTCTTCCCCTACTTCTTCCCCGGTAACTTCAACCACTTCGGTACGCCACCCCCTTTCCTTCCCCCAGACATCGCCCGATCCCCACCGCCACCGCCCAGCCTCTGCAACGAAGACTTATCCTCCTTATCATCGATAGGTACAGCAGCAACCTCCTGCACCTTGATCTGGCTAGCAACCTGCCGTAGTTCCGGGCGGAGGATATGCCCACGAGTCGACGCGATCTTCGCCTTCGACGAGACATTATTCGCCCAGGAGAAATTCACCAGCACGCGGCCGTTCATGCGTAGATCGCGAATGAGGAGTTTCTCAGCCACGTCGGGGATTACCGATTGACCTTTTAATAATAACGAATGCTGGGTACCTGAACCTGCGCCCGCACCGGCACCGGCCGCGCCAGCAGCGAAGAAAGATAACGAGAATCCCTCGCTCGCTATAGAACCATCTAGACAGCTTCTGACAAAGGCATATAGCCCCTGCGCCGTATCTTCCCTGGTGAACTTGGAGACCACCTGGCTCTGGTCCGGGAAGCGGATCTTGACTTCGACGTCGGCGACGCTGGCGAGCTTAGTTTCCTGGGCGGATGCTTTGGCGGCCAGTTCTGCGTCGGTGGGGAGGCGGTTTGGACGGGAAGTGCGGTTGAGGTGGAGTTGGTGGGCTTTTGCATGGTTGACGGTAGGGATGTAGTCGTGTTCGTTGAATGGTGTTTGCGCGGATTGTGGTACTGTGCTTGACGGTGGGGCGTAGACGGTGGTAGGTCTTGATGATACAATTGTCGTTGGCGAAGGGGGTTGTTGTTGACGTTCTTCTGGTGTAGCTGGCTGTTCGGGAGTGGTATCCATAATATTGGATGGGGTTGATGTAGACGTTGACTCTGGCGTTGGCACTTCCGGGCCTGACGAAGCAGGAGTTTCGCGGTTGGAACTCTCAGCAGCTTTTGCGCCACTGTCGCCCTGCTCTTCCTCCACGGACTTGAAGTATTCCCCAATCTCCATCATTGCCTCTTCAAGAGGCTTATCAGTCGTCCGGAAGCTCAGTCTGAGCAGTGTGCTGCCGCTATTGAACCCCAGCTGCCCAAGAGTTCTCTGCAGATCTGAAAATGTCGATAGTTCCCTCCCTACGACCTGGATAACGGGAGATTCGTAAAACAGCCGTCCCGTACCAGTCGCGGCTGACGGTACACCCCTAGCAGTCAAGTTTCTCGTGGTTCCATTCCCCGCCACCCCAGCTTCGAATTTCCGCAACACATGCCATAACGTAGTATTACTTGGGAATTTATCCGTCAAACGTCCATTTGGGGCACCCTGGGCCTCTGATTCGGGAAGCTGTAAGGCAACAGAGACGACGGAGGGGGAGCGGGAAAGCTGCACAAGCTCAAGTTTAGCACCGGAGCTTAGGCCTGATAGCCGTATAGATAGCGAGAGATCGATCTGTTTCTTCTGATGCCTTTCACAAAGGTACAGGTCAATAGTTAATAACTAAAACCGGGATACAGATACATATGGTTATAGGAAAGTATCGAGTTGAAGGAGAGACGCGTCGCTGGGAGCCAGGCAGCACTCACTTGAGTCCATACTGGCGAGCATCAAGCCCGAGCTTGGAACATGCTTCCGAAAGAACCTCAGTGAGATGTTTCGTGGGAGTGACTTTCACCGTAGCCCTTCGAGCAGCTGAGTCTATCACGACAACGTGCGAAGCCATGGTGAGGAATGGAGTATGAAGCGGGATAGTCTGGAGCTGTTCGCGCGGAGGTAGATGACATATTTAACTATAACAGACAGCGCTTGGAGATTTTGAGTGGCGGGACTGCGGCAACGCCAAACCGCGCCTAAATAACACACTGCCGCCAGGTTTACTTGGTTACACACTCTATACAGCCAGTCTCTATGTTTTGAAATGAGTAAAAATGAAATATTGTTCAAAGGTTAGATGCATGGAATTTAAATTCCAGATCTAGAAGTTTCTCGGCTGCGGGGCACTCTGCCGAAGTGCTTTGCGCCTCCGTCAATAAGATGAGTAGTCACTCGTATCCCCCGCCTATCGCTAACTCCCAGAGCTGGGAGGCAAGGTCACACCAACCGTACCTCTCCTAGAATCGAATTCCCAAAAGGTGCCCGGGTAACCACTGATATTGTTGACTCTGAAGAGTCCCATTTGATTTGGGGCTCCAACAGTAGGGCTACACGAGTTTCACAGCAAACAAGAACATAAAAGTACAAATTCAGCAGAACGCCTCCAGCTCCAAATATTAACAACCCCCTCATTAAACAGCCAGCTGTTTGTATTCTCCCTCCGGAGTGCAGCTGGCAAGGCGCCATCTACTGGAGTGCCACATTGGCACAACATTGTTCACCGAGGTTCTAGCCAAACCCTTAAGAGGCGGGAAAACTCCGTGCCACATGCCACCTTCGAAAGTGGCCGTTTCCATATTCAAGAAGATGACAGGGACCGTGTGTAGGAAGAAGCCAAAGTTAATTTGTTTCTTGCCTAGAAAACGTTGAAATTTCAGCTATTAATTTGAAACCCGCGGACTGCAAGCTCACATGCGGCGGGTGCAACAAGGGGGGAAGGGGAGGGAGATATATTTACCAGCAGCGGCGGCGATAGCTACGATGTCTATAGGGTTCTGCTCCGTGCTATACCTCGCCAAATCCACAATGGCAGGTGGCTCGGCCTTCAGATGATTGTGCAGCGGCTCCTTAAACGACTCCAGAATAGCAATCAGCTCAGCGGCGGAGAACTCAGCGCTTTTTTCATCGAGATAAGCCTTCATGCGATCCATCCCCGCATAAAACAACCCATGCTCTTGCACAGCATCCTCCGTCAATCCAGTCGTGCCAGCCGCCTTGTTGATGTTAGGGAACAACTCTGTCTCTTCATAGTGGTGATGGGTCTTGACGCATTCAATCCAAGCCTGGCAATAGCCGACAAAGTCACTTGTCGGTAGCCTTCTGGAGACGAGGGGCCTGTTGGTAGATGCTGTTGAAGCCGCGGATGAACGCGTTGTGGCTGAGGGCCATGGGGGAAGCCTCTATCGTGAAAGGGTCTTCCTGCAGAATGAATAGGTCAGCAACATGGTTCCCCGTCTCACTGGAGGGCGACGTGCTAGTTGGCTGATGAATCTTTAGAGAGTACGCACATTGCCAGTTTGAAACTTTGGCGTTGGAATTATGGCCAACGGCGTGTCGGTGTACATAGGGGGAGAATTATTCTCGGCCATGTTTTGCAGCGCAACTTTACGAGTTGTAGAGTATATGTAGCTGCTATCAGAGGACGGTCTGACGGAAAAAATTGGAAGAGGAAATTGGCTCGGTCAGTTTAAGCAGCCGCACATGTTGATATGGCAATATGTAATGTTGGAACTCCGCAAGCAAGATGCTGGAGCTGAGGAGCTCTGATCAACGGATGATAGAACAAGCAGCATATTATATTGCGTCAGCATATCACCGCCAAATGATCTTGTTCCTATTTTAGAATTTAGCCTGATGACAGGGTGAGCAGCTAGGACTTGCTGCATTTCGCAATAGTCTTTGAAATCAAAGCATTGGCTAGGAGGGATTCCAGGGTTGATCTGCATAGGCCTGTGCTAGCCAATATAAAAGGCTGATAACCAACAATATAATTATTGGCAGCAGGGGAGGAGCCCGACCAACCGAGCTGAAGACGGCAGGGCTATCCATCATTCTCTCCCCCGGGTTTAATCCGTATTCAAAGGAGAGCAGTCAGACTGACTTGGAGAGAACCAGTAGATGTATATTCATAGATCGACCCAACCAAGGGGTAAAAAAAGTATTGCAACTGATTTCCGTGTCCGCTGGGAGATACAGAAATACCATCTGACAACAATTCCAAGTATGCTTCATTCATAATAAAAAGTATTGGCAACCGGGAGTTAAGAGTTAAGCTGTATCAAGCGAGATGAAGTTGTATAAATGTTCCAGGCGTGTATACAGAAAACTTGACCTCGCTAAGTGCGCCACTTGACCTCGTTACATAATCATGACCCCGACCTCGCATAATACAGTAATAATCAGTTGATAATTGACTTTCAACCTTTCAATTCACTCATTCATTCAGCTCATCAATCAATCAAAGCATGTATAGCTGATTCATAATCAATTAAATAAATAGATAAATTCATATAGAATATAAAGAGATATTTTACAGAATTTTAAAATATATCAAGATAAAAATATTTAATAATTAATTTTAAATTGATTTATTAAATTCAAGAATAATTTCAGTATTAAATTGATTTTGAATTAATTAATAATTGATTGTAGAATTGATGATAAATAATTGAGTGATTTCAAATTATAAGAAAAGATGTATTGAGTGAGGTCAGGTAGTGGCACGGGCCACATTTGCAAGGTCAGCTTACATAACGAGGTCAAGTGGCGCACTTAGCGAGGTTAAGTTTTTGTAGAATAGTTGAAGGTTGTATTAATAGATCTATCTACAGAAACATAATATAGTAATGAGTTACATGATCTAGTGAGATTGCTAACCGTAACAGCTGTAAGAGCCAACACTTCCTCTTGAGATAACAAGAATCACATACAAAAAAAAAAACACTCAAATCATTAAGATAGTCTGTTAAAATCAAATACAAATGTAAAATTAAACATTCTCAACTTTTGTGCCTGTAAGACCTAGTAAAATCATGAATTATATAAATATCACATTATCTAAAGATTTAGTGAGTTCATCTGCTACTATCTGAGTAGTAAGAATGTATTCTAAATCAATGATTCTCTGATTCAACTGTCAATATGAAAAATGAAAACATATATCAATATGTTTACTTCAGACTGTAATGACTGCTATCTTTGTGAGATTTATAGCACTCTTATTATCAGTGAGAATCTGTATCAGAGATGTAGTAATAAAGTCAAGCTCAATTATGAGATTCTGAATTCATGTTATCTCACAGACTGTCTCACTAAGAGCTATATATTCAGTCTTATTAAAACTTAGAGATACACAAGATTGCTTTACTGAACATCATGAAATCAGACTGTCTGTGAGCTTAAAAACATAGCTAGATATTGATTTTCTATCATTATTCAAGAGACTGGTTCAATCAGAATCTGAGTAGCTAAAGAATAGGTAGAAATTATCAGAGAAATCAGAGATAATGAAAGAATCAGTAGAAACAGAAAAAATAGAAGAAACAGTAGAAACAGAAGAAATGATAGAAACAGATCTCTCATACAGATTATATTCATAGAAAATACTCAGATTCATGATTTCTTTCAAATAATGTATAATATGTAATAGAGTCTTTCAACATTGAGATGTTGAATCAACATTTCATTGAGTGAGTAGTAAGACAGTGTAAGTGATATCAGAATGTGTTTTAACTGCAAGATATTATAAGCAACTCACATTATATTAATATCACTGAATTGTGAAATCAGTCTCTTTCTCAGATATAGAAAAATTATCAATATAGAATTCATTCTTCATTGATATTCTAATAACAGCTGTATTATCAAGATAGAAATCTTCAATAAGACATTTGATATATTGATAATGTATTAAATCAATTCTCTTGTTCAAACAATTAATCTTCATACTCAAATACTTGATTGACTGATATAGATTCTTGACTTTTAATTTCTCACTGAGTATACTTACTAGTCAATCAGCATTCTCAGAAGCTTTGAATATGATATTGAGATCATTAACATAGATCATCATATAGAGGTGATATCTGAATGTATGATATCAGAGTACTGAATCATGAGCACTGACTGTAAATTTAAGATCACTCAACAGAGCTGTTAAGTAATTATATCAGATCTTCATCACAGAGTTCAAACTGTATAGACTACTCTCAATCACACAGATAAGTATTTTCAGTGAATCTGTCTCAAATTCAGTGAGTTGTCTCATATAGACCTTCTTAGTGAGACACTCATAAAGATATATTATCACTATATTCACTTAATAGAGTGTTCAACTGTGTAGTGCTGCTATTATAAAAAGAATACAATTGACAGTATCAGTGATGACAGAAGTGTAGATCTCTTCTCTAGAACTCTTCTTAAGTCAGTTATTATAAATCACTCAATGTGATTTTCTAAGAATATCATCAGAATTGACATTCAGATCTGCAGATCTATCTTTCTCAAGAAACACTTAACAGTCTGAAGTAATCAGTTCACTTCTCAGAACATCAGATCTAAAAATCAAACTTCATGTATTATGTCTCTTCAGATCAGTAATCTCACATTGTATGAACTTCTTTCAATAATCTTCTACTCTCTCTGATCAAGATGTGGCATCTTTGTAGAACTTTGAGAGGTTATCTGTAACAGAGCTTGAAGTGTAAGTAGTCAGTGATTTCACAGATCATAATCATGTGAAATTCAGATCATCAATATTGAGAGCATCTTCATTATCAATTAAATGAATATCAGGTTTCAGTTCACTGATATTATTAATAAGTGTCACAGATGTGACAACTGATTCAATAACATGATTAATAGATTTCACAGATGTAATAATCAGCTTTTCAGTGATCAGAAATCTCACATCACTACTGATAATAATCTTGTCAGATTCAGAATGTTATAGATGATATATCAATATGCCACTGAACTCAATGATATGATAGAAATTGGCATGTGAAGAGAGCTTATTCACAGACTGCTGAGATTCATGTAAGTGAATAAAAACCTCTGCACTCAATCAGTGAAAATGTTTTACATTCAGTGAGATATTTATAAGTGCATATCAAGAAATCTTATATGAACTTAGAATCACAGAAATCTCTGCAGTAGAGAGTCAAAATTTCAAGTTATAAAGAACTGTAGATATGAGAGTATTATTGATTATTGTAATCACTGTCTCTAGAATATCTGCTCAGAACTTCTTAGAAAGATTATCTTTCAAAAGAGCAGCTCTAACTCATCTTATGATAGTACAGATCTCACATTTGAAAATGCCATTCTAGTGTGATGAATGTGATATTATTGATTCTCATTTAATATCATATAAATTCATAACTGTGTGCATATATATGAATTGAAAAACATCATCAATATCAGTCTGTAGAAAAGCAGAGACTGTATACTTAAGATTATTCATGAATCTGAGTCACAACTCAAAGTATTGAACAGTCTCATTCTTGAACTTTAAAAAATACACTCAACAGTAGTGAGTCGCATCACAGATGATAAGTATTCAGTATTTTATTCTCTGACAGAACTCTAAGAAGTGATCAGAGAGATCTTTCAATGTATATTCATCATCTATAAGATTAATATAAACCTTCTCAATGAGTTAAATAGATTTAGACATCAGTGTTTTCAAATAATCTTATATTATATCAGTCTTGACACATTTCTTACAAAAGAACTTAGTCTTAGAATCTTTAATTATGACTTCAGTATGAGAATTCTTGATCATAGCAATTATAGCATCAGTATGAATATGACTGAGATTATAATATCAATTCAAAAGAGTCTTTGATATCTTCAATGTCTGTGTTTTTGCATCTGCAGAATTAACATTATTAATAGTAGTGACAGCAGTCACAGAAAGATCAACTTTTCAGTTAAAATCATACTTATATAATATTATAATATACTTGACTGTCTTGTTCAGATAATTGAAATTCTCATTAAACTTCTATTTATCAATCTTATATATGTTGTTCTGAGCAGTTCAAACTGTATGAAAAATAACACTGTTCAGAACTCTGTAAATGAAAAATAAGAGAATAGTGAAAGATAATATAAATTAAAATCTCTGATCTTCAAGCTTTACAAATGAGAGCAGATTAACTGTAATATTAGAAATATAGTGAATATTCTGTAAGTTAACATTATTACTCTCAATTTTCAAGATAACAGTCTCAATCTTCTTGATAAACTCAGTTCTCTCAGTCACAGAATTGACAGAGATATTATTATTAAAAGATTTAATATTTAAAAAAGAATGAAGCTCATTCATCATATTCAGACTTACATATATATTCAAATATCAAGATCTAGAGAATGATTTTTCAGTGACTGTGAAGAAGAAGTAGAACTCAATCTTTGTAATTACTGTATTTACTGCTGATTAAAAACTTATCAAGTCATTCTTCTTCTCTTTCTTCTTATCATTCTTCTTATCATTCTTCTTTTTCTTTTTATCAGAGTGTAAGATGAAACATCTATCAATAGTATGTTTATATCTTCTGTAGTGAGTACACTTTCATATAGATGTGCTTTTATTCTTATCTTTATTCTTATCTTTATTCTTATTCTTCTTCACAGTCACAGAATCAGTCTGAGACTGCTTTTTTCACTCAGTGATAATCTTCTTGAATGTATAATTGATCAGTTACTTCATCAAATTATCAATATCAATGTTAATAATGAGTCTCTGATTAGTGAAGAAAAACTCATTCAAATATATCTTGATAAACAGTCTTTGATAATCTTGTAGATTATTGAGAAAAAGATTATAATATATATTCTCAGTACTCTGACAGAGCTCTTTATAACAGATAATAAAATAGTAGAAATGTCTCTGAAAAGTAAGATAATCATTCTTCTTAACTTATAATTTTATCAATTTCTTAAAGATATTAACTCATTCTTCTGTCAGTGATATTATATATTCAATATTAATCTTATTTCACAGAGCTGCAGTATTATTAGCTTTCAAGATTTTAATAGTGATTCAAATGTTTTCAATAAGACTTAATAGTATATATCTATATAGAGACTTAAAACAGATTCTTCACTTCTCAGAGTTAATATAATATATAAAAGAGAATTCTCATTGAGTTCTTAATAGAATGTCAGTTTCATCAATAACTTCTGTATCAGTTAATATATTAATATATCAGACTTTATAATTAGAGTTATTAAATGTAATCACTGATTTAATATCTAGTGTATATTTAACTTTCTTCTGATATTCTTATAACTCATCTCTTATAGTATCTCTTTATACAGATATAGTGAGATATTAAGTGATTTCAGCTGCAGCTATCTGATTCTGTAGTATTATCTGTATAAGATTTATAAAATTACCTGCAGTGTAATAGATAGATTGATTTAAATCATTATTAAAAGTCAGCATTTCAAGAGTAAGAAACAGTGAAGAATTCAATAAGTTAAAATGAATAGATTTTATAGATAAATATTAACTCTGCTTTTCTTTATTCTGAAGTTTCTCTATTATCTTATTATCAAATTTCATACTCTGATGAAAACTGATCTCAGTCTTATCTTACAAGTCAGAAGCTTTCTTATAATAAGTGATCATTTTATTAATAAGTTATCTAGTGAAGTATGTAATTCTGAGTCTTAAGCTGAACTCTGAAGTAACAGATATATTACTTATATTGAGATAACTCTGCTTCTTCTAGATATATAAAAAAAAAAGATAAAAAGTGATATTCTTCACAATGAAGAACACACTTTCTTAAAAATATAAAGTATATAAATTCACTGACTGACAGATTCAGAGAAAATGAAATATCTCTAATAAAGAGTGAAAGTCTTTTTAAAAAAGATGAACTATCTGTGTCAAAAATATATTGATATAATATTCTAAAAAGAAAAACATGTTCTCCAGGCTATAACCTGTAGAATAGTTGAAGGTTGTATTGATAGATCTATCTACAGGAACATAATATAGTGGTGGGTCACGTGATCTAGTGAGATCGCTAACCGCAACGGCCGTAAGGGCCAACAGTTTTCTGCTTCCTGGTTCCAGGCAGCGGCGACGACGACGAAGCTGCTTATTAATACTACTACTACGTACTTCCCGGCGGGTGGCCCGAGCTCAGCGCGCGTTGTGCCAGAGCTTCCTCTTACGATACAAACCATCTCAGTAGACACCAAGACATCATCATCTACCACATCTACAACATCTACACATCTACACACCTCCACACCCACCTCTACCCGCTATAATTACTACCCCGACTGCGACATCTGCCTTGTTATAGTTGCCCCAGATACCCCATTGTGCCATTTGCTCCCACTGATTGTTTATCCACATCACATCATGGTAAGCTCTCCTCCCCCCAATCTTAGCTCGGCAACACCTATCTAACACTCATATATAGTCTTCCCCCTTCGACATAAGTATACATATACCCCCCCCCCCCCCCCCCCCTTCAATGTTGGCCCCCTGGAAATCACAAAATAATATTCCTCAAGGCCGAGAACCGAAGTGGTCCTCCAGTTGTGCGAGTTATCTGGTAGGGCGAAAGCACGAAAATAATGAGTACCCATACAAAAATCCTCTAGAGCGAACTCAAACTATTCGTACCACGACTCGAAGGAACGTGCGCGCACAAAGCGCCGC